CAGAGAAAAAGAGGAAGACCCCCAGCGAGATGGATTGACCAGGTGGCAGCATCGATGGACTCAAGCGAGGCAATAGTAGTGAGGTTGTACCAGGATTGAGCAGTGTTTCGTTCTGCTGTGCATAAGGTCGCTATGGGTCAGTACTGACTCGATGGTACCTCTAAACAACAACAACATCATATTTGAAATTGCTTAATACTAAGGATATTTAATTTTGGTCTTTCTTTTTTAACAGGAGGTAACAAATCTCAAAGATGCCAAACAACTTTTGAGTCAGCAGAAATTAGAGCTTCAGGGAAAAGTAGACTCCCTGAAAGCTACCCTTGAACAGGAGAAGAAAAACCAGCAAGTGCTAAAAGAGCAGGTGAAAAAGGAAGAAGAGGAGCTGAAGAAAGAATTCACTGAGAAGGAAGCTAAACTGGTCAGTGGGCAGTGTGGGAAGTATGTCTTCTAACAGCTCTGAGTCAATCCAGTGAAAGCGGATTTTCCTCTCAGACATTACGATTGAGATGTTCACCTAGCATTTCAGGTTTTGATTTTAAAAGATCTTATTTGTTAAAATAGTTGACATATGATCAGAAATATTTTATTCAGTAATCAGAATTTAATTTATAGAAGTGAAAATCACAGCAAAACATAACTCAGAAAAAACCATTTATGTTAGTACCAAAACCCAAAACAAACAGCCCCCCTCCCCCAAAATGTTGCCTGAAGTAAATGGTGTGAATGCTAATCATGTTAAACTCATTTGTCTGGTTAAGTAAACATTGCTAAAGGGAAACAGAAATGTTTGTTTGGAATTACGATGTCAGGAGTCTACTTTTCCTTCCCTAAATTGTACATGCCAAATGGGAAGCATCTGGCTTTCCTCTATTGAATTTCATCCAGATAGTCCCAGATTAGTTGACCTCTTCATGTTTTAGTTGAAGAGTTGGTTTCAAGTTCAAACATTGCTTTAAAGGGTTTAAATCAATTTTGGCAGGTTGATAGAGATAAAGAGAACGCATGTGGAGTTGGGAGACCATAGGAACTTTCAGCTTGGTCTCCAGGCTGCCATGCGATCCTTTACCATGTTGTGTCTTCTGCTGGGGTAGAAAAAGGGAAAAAAACAAAAAACAAAAAACTCTCAAATTGCTTCACTTTAACTTGATAGGCTTCTAACCATCATTTTAGCTTTATGGTCTCTGAGCTTAAAATACACAGATGTTTGTGGAATTAATTCTATTAATGTATATGCATGTACTTACTCCTTACTTGGAGTCCTGGTGTGGCACTGTGGGTTAATGCGCCAGACTGCAAAGCCATTTAAACTGCAAGGTCGGTGGTTCAAACTCAGCAGTGCTCCTTGGAAACCCTGTACAAGGTGGCTAAGGGTCGGAGTCGACGTGACGGCACTCAACAACCACAACTCCTTACTTACTGACAGTCTCATCTGAAACTTTGCATTTACGACAGTAATAAAAATTCGATTATCCAATTATTTTGCGCATTAATGACATACATTTGGCAGTAACGTATGCTGAGATATGAAGCGAGAAAAATAATGGCTGTGATCATTAAGATTAAGATTACGTGGCAACTTGACTGGGCCATGATTTTAAGTAGATTGGAATTTATGTAATGATGTAATTAGGCAGTTATGTAATGATGTAGTCATCCTCCATTTTGTCATCTGATACACTCATCTTCCGTTTTTGCATAACGCCAATTTTCACATATTGACCTGGTCTTTGAAGCCTGTGTTAAAAAGTGAGGAGTGGGTGTAGAAACTATGTTCTTTTACCTCTTTTTCTGAGTGTTGTTGGTGGTGGTAGGTGCCATCCGTTGGTTCTGACGCATCCTGACTGTGCGTCACAGAGTGAAATCCCTGCCCAGTCCTGTGCCATGCTCACAGTTGTCACATTTTTGAGCCCATTGTTGCTGTCACTGTATCAGTTCATCTTGTCGGGGGTCCTTTTTGCTGACCCTTCACTTTTCCAAGTATAATGTTTTTCCAGAAACTGATCTCTTCTGACATGTCCAAAGAATGAGAGACAAAGTCTACTATAGTTATTTTAAGGAACATTCTGACTGTACTTCTTCCAAAACAGATACGTTTGATCTTTTAGTAGGCCAACTCTTTTAGGTTGGCAGCTGTGTGCCCTTAAAATCTGTGTCGTAATTTCAAACCTCTGTGCTTGTGATTGTGATCCAATTTGAAAATGAGTTGTCTTGGTTATGTTAGTGAGACAGAATTAGTGTAGGGTGTATTGTAAACTCAGTCTCTTTTTGATAAATATTGTTAGAAGTTGGAGTTTCATATTATCTGGGAAATCTTTAAGTTTGCAAAAAATAATGCAGTTCCAACTCATTAGCTACACTATGCACAACAGAATGAAACACTGCCCAGTGTTGCTATGTTTGAGCCCATTGGTGCTGCCAACTATGTCAGTCCATCTGGGGGGATGACTTTTTGTTGTCTCGTTTTTGTTCACACTCCAGTTTACCAAGCATGATGTCTTTTCTCATGAACTGATCCCTCCTGACAAAACAACCAAGGAATGAGAGACGGTCTTTCCATCCTTGCTTCTAAAGAGCATTCTGGCTGTACTTTTTCCCACACAAATTTGTTTGTTTTTCTGACAGTTCATGGTAATTTCAGTATTCTTCCCAACACTACAATTTGAATGCATTGATACTTTTGTAATTTTCCTTATTCACTGTCCAACTTTCACATGCATATGAAGCGATTGAAAATACCATGGCTTGGGTCAGAAAAACCTTAGTCATCAAACTGATGTTTTTGCTCTTTAACACTTTAAAGAGGTCTTTTGCAGCAGATTGATTATTGCAATACATCATTTGGTGTCTTTTAAGTTTTGTATTGTGAATTGAGTGATAGTTTACAGGGAAGAAAATTGATTTTACACTCATCCTATTGTATTTTGTTTCATTGCAATGATTACAGTCTGTTTCATGCATCATCATTCAATATAATTTGCTTCTATTCCCTCTTTAAATTTTTTTTCTTTGCAAGTACACAAAAACACTCAGAAATATCTAATCATTTAAACAACCAAAGGGTGCATTCTGCAAGCCTGCCTCCTGGCCACCAGCACACAGCCTGTTTCTTTTCATGAGTCCAGAGTCCTCAGCTGCTCTATATCTCCATGTAGTCATCTCTGTCTCCATCTCTGATGTCGGTACTTCTTTGATTAGGGTCCCATATTCTGCTCATGCTCTTCTCTCCTGATGGTCCGAGGGTCCTCTGATCCTGGAATGTAAGATTCACTACTCCCCCTTTTTGTTACAAAACTTCTGCCTTTATAGTGTGACCATCGCTATTAGTCATGATAACAGTTACTCATTGTTGAATCATAAGTATCGTATCTCCATCTACTTTCACCAGACCTGTCTAGACAAGATGAAAACTATTCAGTGGGGATTCTGCCTTTCTCCCCACACTCTTTTTTTATTTTTATTATTATTATTAAGGGTTTTATTGTGGATTGAATGAAAGTTTACAGGGCATATTATCAGTATTACATTCAACAAATCGTACACCTTATTTCATTACAATATTTTTTACTTTTCTTGCTGGTCTTTCTTTCAAGAAGTGTCTTCTGTTCCTCTAGCTGCTCCAGGCTGGTTTGCTTGTCCTTCCAAGTGGGAATATGCCACCTCAGAAAGTTCTGGATGGGGCTCAAGATTCCACCTAAGGTGCTGTACACAACAAAGGCTTCACAAGAAGCCCATTTCACTGGGCAAGTTGTAGAACGCCTTTAGGTATTCCAGTGAGTTAGAAGGCTGAAGACGGGTTTACAGGCTTTCAGTAATCTTGTTTCCCAATCTTCCTTTTTATCCCACTCAAGTGTCTATTTTACAATAGTAGGCAAGGGAAACCAGTGTTCATAAGACAGTCAAGCATGTTAACATTATTTCCCCTCCTTTACTCATTCAGACAGACTATGCCTCGATCCCTGTGTCACAGAGCCCTGTTGTTCCAAGGTTGAGCATACATCACTATTTACCTCTGTCCCACTTAGCCCCATGCCATTCTGCTTCAGTGTTCCCCTATCTACCTTGTTCTCCCATCCTGTTCCCCCTTCTTGTGTACTGTCTACTCCAACACCCAAACTACGATGTCTGTATCCCCTACCCTGTGCTCTATTGTCTTCTTACCACCCACCGGTAACCAACAAAGATTTTGTTTTTATTTCTTTTAGTATGGGTAACTTTTCTTAAGACTTTACAATATTTGGCTTTTCATGACTGACTAATTTCACTCAGCATAATGTCCTCAGGTTCATCCATGTTATACAGTGGCTTGCAGCTTCCTTTTTATTCTTCAAGGTAGCATAGTATTCCATTATGGATATGTGCCACAGTTTGTTTATCCCTCCTTCCATTGATGGGCACTTAGGCTGTCTCCTTCTGTTTGCTGTTGTGTGTAGTGCTGTGGTAAACATTGGTGCATCGTTGGATTTCTTGACTGCTTCTTCCACGAGCGCTTATTGTGGATCCAAGCAAAATTAAGTCTTTGAGAATTTCAGTTCTTTTTAATTTATCATGATGTTATTTAGTGGTTCGCTTATGTGGATTTTTAATCTTTTTCTTATCTTAGGGTACAATCCATACTGAAGGTTGTCATCTTTGATTTACATCAGCAAATATTTTAAGTCCTCTTCACTTCCAGTAATAAGATTGTGTTGTTTGCGTATCACAGGCTGTTAATAACTCTTCCTCCAATCCTGATGCCATTTCTTCTTCATATAATCCAGTTTCTTAAATTATGTGCTCAGTATACAGATTAAATAAGTATAGTCAGAGGATACAACCCAAACACAACTTTCCTGATTTTGAACCATTCAGTGTCCCCTTATTCTGTTCAAAGGACTGGTTCCTCCTGAGCACAATAATGTGTTCTGGAATATCTGTTATTTACAGTGTTATCCATAGCTTGTTATGATCACAGCCTTTATTGAATTTGTTGTTGTTGTTTTTATGTGTTGTGGAGTCGATTCTGATTCATAGTGACCCTGTACAGGGTTTCTGAGGCTGTAAATCTTTATGGGAGCAGAATGCCTCATCTTTCTCCCACGGAACAGCTGGTAGTTTTGAACTGCTGACCCTGAGATTAGCAGCCCGATTCATAACCACTACGCTACCAGAGCGCCTTCCCTTTATTGAATTGTTGTTTGTTGTTGTGAAGCAATGTTATTTATGTTGCTAATATTTTAAATTCAATAAATAACTTACATTTATTCTATATTACTTTTTAAAGTTTTCCCATTTATTTTTATTTTTTTTTCTCAGCATTCTGAAATAAAAGAAAAAGAAGGAGGAATCAAGAAGCATGAAGAAAATGAGATTAAGCTTACCATGCAGATTACTGCACTAAATGAAAATATAGGCACTATCAAAAAGGAGTTGCAATCTAGTCAACGGAGAGTTAGTGAACTTGAGAAGCAAACAGATGATCTCCGGGGTGAAATTGCAGTGTTAGAAGCAACGGTGCAGAATAATCAAGATGAAAAGAGAACACTACTAGAAAGGTGACTGAGTCTAGTAATAGCAGTTTATTTCCTTTGTAAGTGACAAAAAAGATGGCTGTAGTCTGAACTCTTCTTCAAAGTTTTAAAAAAAAGAAAAAAATCTTGAGAAAACTTCATTACTCCTGTAGTGTATTTAAGTTGCCATTTGAACGTAAAGCAATCAGATAGTTGAAATAACTGTGTTTCTGTTGTTGTTATTAAGTGCTGTTGAGTTGGTTCCAATGCAAAGCCACCTTGTATAGGGTTTCCAAGGAGCGGCTGGTGAGCTTGAACCGCCGACTTTGTGGTTCCAACCAACTTTGTAGTCCAGCGCATTAACACACAGTGCCACGATATTTTAAATTCCTAAACTGAGTCAATTATTTGTGGTCTACACTAGTCTTAAATGATTCTTTTTTTAAAAAAAAAAAAACTGTGATCTCTTTCCAATCTATTCCAGATGTCTTAAAGGTGAAGGTGAAATAGAAAAACTTCAGACCAAAGTTGGAGAAATGCAAAGGAAGCTGGATAATGCAACTGCAGCCGTACAGGAACTGGGCAGAGAAAATCAGTCCCTCCAGGTAGGCCACTGCGTGATGAGAGACCGTCTCTTCATTTAGAATTTGCCTCTTCATATTTTCAACCTTTTAAAACAAATCTCATGAATAAAATCCCTTTGAAGAGCTATTGTCTCATTCTTACAGATGTTGTGAGGAATTAAATATAAAGATAAAAGGCTTTGTCTGAGAGACCCCAGACATTATTTAGAGAGTATGTCATTCATGAATTGTCAGTACTAAACAAAAATTACCAAATTTGAAAATATTCAAGAATCGATTAATCGGTTTGCAGTGTCCTGAGCGTGGATGGAAAATCACCAAGGGTTAGGTATCACCAGTGCCTTTGAGGGATCAAACATGATTTCCTTCCATTCTGTCATGCAGACTTAAGAATATAGCTACTTTTGGTAGCAGAATTTCTGATTTTCAAAATTTTGTCTCATGTTTCGCATAGTAAAATTATGGTGCCAAATTAGAAATGATCTGTCAGTCATTAAAATATTGAATATTATGTTGTTTTGAAACCTGTATTTTGTCTTCTTTTTGAACTAGATCAAATATACACAAGCACTGAATAGAAAGTGGGCTGAAGACAATGAAGTGCAGAATTGCAGGACTTGTGGGAAAAACTTTTCCGTGACAGTGAGACGGGTAAGTGAGTTTCCATAGATGACGTTTCTGTATTTCACTCCTCAGAGACAGTGTGTTACAGTAATAAGGGTCCTACATTCCAGGGATTTTCAAAACGTTCCGTTTATTGTTTGTTATTTCTCAGTGCCATCAAGTCAGTTCCAACTCAGAGCGACCCTGTATAGGGTAACCAACAAGTTGGTAAACTTTCATTTACAACTACAGCTATAACTAAATTTCTAGAGTCTAGATTAATATTTGAATTTTTAGTCTTAAATTCAGGCATGCCTTTACTTCTCAGTTACCCTATGATAGATGACAGTTTTCTGAACCAGTATTCTAGTATGAAATTCATCATGGTTAAGCTCTCATTGGGCCCTTTGAAAGGGAGAAAATAGAGAGGTTTAAATTTTTTTCAAAAATGTATTATATAGAATTCATGTGATAATTCAAGTTTATATTCCTGTTGAAGGCATTTTGGCCAAAATAGTTGGTAAATAAGAATAGTTTTTCTTTTTTTTAAATCTACTGTGGGTGCCTTATTAACAGCACTTTTCAGAAATCCCTCCTAGAGCTCCTTTGAGAATCCCCTCATGTAATCTCTATGAATATTTATAAATATCTATGAATATCTGATAAATAGAAAGCATTCAATAAATTTTAGCTGTTTCTGTTTTAATACCACTAAGGGATTAAACAACATATTACAATAGCATAGTATTGGAAAGTTAAGCCTAACTGTGCAGTTTGCAATATTCATGTAGTCTTTGAAAGTTTTCTCTGTGGATTTAATGCTTATAATTGTTTAATTTTTTTGTCATTTACAGCATCACTGCAGACAGTGTGGAAATATCTTCTGTGCTGAGTGTTCAGCTAAAAATGCCTTAACTCCTTCTTCCAAGAAACCTGTTCGTGTCTGTGATAGCTGTTTCAAAGACTTGCAAGGATAATGAGTTATCACAATTTCAGCGGAATATCACACTAATGTTAATATTTTAATAAATACACTTAATAGAATACTTGGACTACTATATGATTTGGACAGGGGTTGCAATACTAGACCAAATTAGAATTCGTATATTTTGAAATGTTACCAATATCAAGTAAAACTCTTCTATTTTTGTGAGACTTGGGCTCATCTTTTATTACTTTTTTCCATCTAACTCCCAGGACAGCTTTCATGCCAAGTTGAGAATTAGCCAATGAAATGTAAATAAACTTTGGACAGAAAATAGCAATGTATTTTTTTAAATATAATTTAATTGTTCAGAATAACATGATCATAATTGCGTAGCTTAGTCTTTCTCCCAAATCTAAGGTACAAAATTAATTTGGATGTTGTACATTGTTGTGTTTTTTTTGCACAATAACACATTATTATATAAAAGATTCTCTGTATGAAATCTTGCACATAACTATAAAACTTTCTAGCTACCTTTTTTTCTCTCTTATATGTAGGTCCATAGATTAATGGTACTGCTAGGTTATAAATTTACTATGTGGGTATTCTACATACTTATTTTAAAATATGTGTTAACCATGCGTTCCAACTTGGTTTTTGTTTTAACAATATGGATTAAATTCTCTTGGGTGGATTTTATGAAAATCTCTATAAAATCAATTTACTTACAACCCCAGGATAACTGGAAAGTATTTTAAAGATTAGAGTTAATGTTCCTTTTTTCTAAAATGCCTTTTTCTATCTCAGTTTTAACCCCCCTCTGACTTTGTTTTAAGAATCTTATAAACGTCTCACCTGGAGAGTGAATAATAGACCCTGTGTAACAATGGCCCTATTTGTTTCTTGTAAGTAGGATGTTTTCTGAGATTAGCCTTCATATTATAACTTCATTTGGTTTCCAGCATCTTCAGGAATCTGAATGTGCTTTTATCTTAAGGTATCTATTTTCTTCCTTTAATTTGGTATAACCTTCCCAAGCATAGTTTTGCTTCATTGTAATTGTTTTATAATTCTGCATCTTAAGAGCTATTAATATTTCTATAGTCTTATCTATAAAAACAAAATTCAAAAATGGCAAGGATACATTAAATATTCTACTTTATATTTTCTTCTTACCTATTGGTGGTGTTGGTAGTTATATGCTGTGGAGTCAGTTCCAACTCATAGTGACCCTGTATTGGGTGTCTGAGGCTGTAAATCTTTATGGGAGCAGAAAGCCTTATCTGTCCTCTGTGGAACAGCTGGTAGTTTCGAATTGCTGACCTTACTATTAATAGGCCGACTTGTAACCACTACCCTAACAGAGCTCCTTCCCAATTAGGGAAGAACTTTTCAAACTTGTGAAACTGACTTAAATTGAAATTGATTCAGAGTTGGGGTTCCATACCAACTGGTAAATCTTGTAACTTTACAAAAACAATGCTGTGAAATTACCTTGAAGCAACAACTAGAGGGGAAAGTCTCACCAAAAGTAAGTATATTAAGGAATTCCAAAGTTATTATAAAAATTGAAAATCAGAACACCATAAGGATAATTAAGGATCCTCATATTTATATGTTGAATAATGGAAATGAATTTTAGGATAGTCTCTTTAATTTGGAAAATTGGAAAGCATCGGAAGAGAGTCTGCATTAATTTGGTTTACTGCTCTTTTTGGAGACGAAAATACATTTGTTCAGTGGAGTCATTTGATAGCAATAGTAAGGAAGGATGAGAGTTAATATTTCATTTCCAGCAAATGTTCGGTAATAATATGCACTTGTTTTCAATTATCATGCTGAATTTAAGTGATCATGTTTAAATTATATCTATGGTGTACATATGGAGCCCTGCTGTGGAGTTGTGGGTTAATGCACTGGACTACAAAGTCATTTGAACCTCAAGGTAGGTGGTTCAAGCTTACCAGCCACTCCTTGGAAACCCTGTATAGAGTTGCTATGGGTCGGAACCTACACGACAGCACTGAACAACAACAACAACAACAACAACAACAACAACATGATTTACATATGGTGTGGCACTGTAGAATAATATACTAGACCACAAGGTCTATTTGAACCACAAGGTTGGCAGTTCAAACTCATCAGCCACTCCTCGTAAACCCTGTACAGGGTTGCTATGAGTCAGAACCGACTTAACAACACTTAACAACAACAACATAACATTCATAAACTAAAAAAGATTGTAAAATATTCATTTAATTATTAAAAAAAAAATTTAAATAAATTGTATTGACAGTAGTTATTAAGGGCATTGATTGAGTCCCAGGACTAAGAGCAGTATGTATCCTTAAGCATAAATAGGTGAAGAAATGCAATGATTCTTTATTAAATAATAGTTGTATAATATAAACAGAGCTAAGATTATTTATGGATTTACATATACTTCCAAATAGTCTTAATTCTACACTTTTGCCTATAAGTAATTTAATAAATGTGTTGGGAAAAAAACATTCACAGTTCCACTATTAAGTTTTATTTTTTAAAACTAATTAAGCATTTTAAGAATTCCTCTGAATTAAAATTTTGGTTTACTTCATCTCCTGTAATAAAATACACTGAAGGCCTTCTCCCTGCCCACTAGCATGTCCTTTCCTCTCACTCACATGCTCAGAAATAAAGGATGTGGCGGACAGCACAGGCATGATCTGCATTTGAGTGATTTTCTAGTTTTCATCTAGTCTCATTTCATAGGTCCTGAGTAATTTACCATGAGCTACTATATTGATAATCTTATAAGTGAAATTAAACATTTTTTGATTAACTCATAAACTTAAGGTGTTCTGGAAACACAAAAGGATTTTGTTTATATTTCTTTTAAATTAAAAAAGTCATTTTCTCTTTCTTGGCTCTACCTTGTAGGTTTCTGCTGGTCCCATTGTTTTATCAGTGAGTTAGAGCTGGCATGCACAGAACCCCAGCTCTTGGCTCTCATGCAAAGCTTACTGGCATCCTGTGTTAGGAAATGACAAACCTCAGCACTGAAAAGTGAGTGAAAATCAAGTCTTGCTGGGTTAGTGTACAGTAACTGAGAGCAACAGAAAGTTAAAAAAAATAGAAACATGGCAAAGCTACTAGTACAGGATTTGTTCATTTTGTAAGAAAAGGAGAGGGAAACAAACACAAAACCTCAATATAGTATACAAATAACATTTTGTTCAACTACCTCTTAATGTGGAATTAGCTAGGTTAATGGTTTCCTCACAGTAATGTGAAATAGTAACTGCCAAATTTGTTAGTTTCCCATCTCTCTTAAAAGCCCTTATAATTATTTTATATAATTTCAAGAACTTTAAAATCACTTTTTTCAACCTTGCATTTGCATAAAAATTTTAGCTTTTAAGTGGAGAACAAATTATTGTCATATATTTTGATATTCATGACCTGTTTGAGTACAATTTTTTTTAAATGCACTTTGGCTATGAAACTATGGATAATTTGATCCATAAGGTTTAAACGTGCCATCAATTTGGAATTCCTAGACACGAGCTTGATGAATGGTATTCTGTAATTATAAAGTGCCACACATTATTGTGTCTTAATTACCCTTTGCCTGAATTTTAATGATCAATTTGTTATTGTTGCAGATGTGAATATTGTGCATAAACTTCCTAAATTTATGTAAAATTGTGAAAAAATAGAATTAGAGCTAGCTAAGTTCTGCGTAGAAGAAATAAATTTATTGTAACATGCTGCAGTTGCCTATAAGACATTCTGTACTTTCTTGAACTGGATCATACATTCATAATTTCTGTAGATACTTTTGCATGAATATTTTCTCTCATTTAGTTTTTGAATTCATTATTTGTATTGTATTTACTATTTGTGATCATGTAGTTGTGCCTTATTCTGTGAGAGAGTTTAGTCAATACTGTAATTTCTAAGCTCAGTGGTTGGAAAGGTAATTGATTGTAAATATAATTGTTAAATAACATGGCTCAGCATTTAAATCTGTACAAAGAACAATGGAAGGATCCTTACTGAATTGTTGCTTTATATATATATAAATTTATATA